TTCCTACAAACACTCATTATAGTACTTCCTAAGTGTCAGACACCAAGAGCATTACAAATAGCTTGTTAACTAACAAAACTCACATCATCTCTACAATAGATATTAACATTCTCTCCATTTTATCGATGTGGCAACTGGGCCATAGAGAGATTAGGTGCTCTTCCTTAGGCCACACAGCTAATCACTGTCACAGCCAGGATTTGAACCCTGGCATCTGGGTCTAGTGTCCATGTTCTCTGTTGCTGTTGGTGGGGAGTAAATATAGAGAGCAATGGTTAGGGGTGACATTAGACTGAGAGGCCGTGTCAGCCGTGCCAATCAGATAGACTTCCATGCGGGGTCTGTGCAGTGGAATGTGGAGCTCAGACTTTGGCATTCAGATTAGTATGCATGGGCAGCATGAAGCGTGGTTCTTCCACTCTAGGTTTTCTGGGTTTCTAGCTCTGCCACTTACTAGATGATCATCCAAGTCTTGATTATTCACTCCCTTCTGGTAATATCATATATCCCAACCTTTGTGGTTTCATGGCCTCATGCCAAGTGAAGTATCCCTCCAACCTCCTTATCTTTGGAGCAGGCATGTAGCTTGCCCACCATGGGAAGAATAGTTCTCAGGTGGCCCCTTCCCCTACCAGTGTCCTCGCCCAGGAACCACCCCAGCTACCTGTGGATGTCTGAGTGAGACGTCAGTGTTCACTGTTGCATGTCTGAGGTTTTTTTGGTTGCTTGTCCAACTTCCCCAAGGGTAAAGTGAGGACTCAGTCTTATTCTCTCAACTCTAAAAGGAAGAGTATGGTAACAATACTCTTGTTGCAAAGCTCTGAGGCTCAGTTCTGTTGTGAAAGAACTGATAATAAAACCAGGATCTATACTAAAGTTTTCAACAATTTTGTATGGGAAATTATGAAATAATAGTTCTGTTGAGAAAATATTCAAGTAAGCAGGCTTATCTGAGCCTTGTTTAAGATGTATTTTCAAAATATCTTTTACTCACAAGTCATTCTTACCTGTGCATTAATGTAGCTTCTTAGCATACATGGCTTTGAAAAAGAGCAGTTGCTTTACTTTTCAAATCTTCCTTTCTTTTTTTTTTTATTGTTTGGCCTACCATTTTAACTTACTAACTTCACACTGTTTTTCATAATGGATTTATTTCACTGGCAGTGATATAATTTAGACATATCCAATAAACTCTAGCCCATATTTAGATCATTAAAACCTTTAAACATTGACATTACCTGGAAAATGTTTTTGAAGTATAACACATACGTGGTTCTAAATGTCATCTAATGACGTAAAGATGACAGGAAAAGAGGCAGGGAGGAACAGATTGGGTTAACTGATCTTTGATGTCTGCTTGGGTTAGCTTTTATGATCTTAAAATTTCCTATAATGTTTTTATAGTGCATTTCCACATATTAAAAATAAGTCTCCAGCCAAGCAGAAAACTAGCATCTTTGTACAATGAATCCTGTGAGATATTTAAAAATAGATGTATAAGGAAAATGACAAGTAGATTGGTTGCTGTTTTCTGTACTAATATTAATGGACAACATCCAAGAGTAATTCTTTCACTCTACATTAATTATAAAATGCTGATGAGGCTTTCATGACATAATTAGCATACTTTAGCCTGTTTTATTTGATAACTCTAGGTCAAAACTCTGGTTTATAGATTGCTATTTTTTAATGAGTTAACCATGACTTTAAGTGGTCTATAATTGTAACAGTGTTACTGAGCATTAAAACAGATCACATATGTTACATCAAGATGGCAGAATGCCAGCTTATTAATAGCTAGTGTTGTGCTAATAAATTGACTCTAGGGGCTAAAAAAAAAGCCCTGATTTAGAGTGCTTGTTAATTTCTGTGGTATAAATATTTCCACTGTGACTGATTTCAAGTTATCACTCACTTGACAACAGGCTTGAAAAATTCATGAATATTTTAATACTAAGTGTTTGCAAGCCAACATGAGCCCCTACCAATGCACCATTCAACAGCTGATACTTAGGCAGGCTGGATTTATATATTGGAATAATGACACTTTAATTATCCTGAAATGCCTCATTCAACTAAAAGTCATCCATTGAAAGAGCACCTTTATATAAGACTTAAGGGCACTTTACAGTAGTGGTTATAATATTTTGAGTCATTGACAACTTTGAGGAGCTGCTCTATAAGGGGAAAAATAGCGCACACCCGGAAGTTTGAGTACAGTTTTATGGAATTCTTGGGCCTCCTGTCATTTGCTCCTGGGACTTACATTAATGTCTTTGCTGGTTTTTTGATTTGTAGGAACTAATTTTGCAAGCAGCATTCTCAATATCATTGATTAAATTCAAGTTTGTGGTAACTGGAGAGCTCATTACAAAGGAGGTAGCTTAGCAGTGTTCATTACTGTACGGCTTCTATCATTATTCTAAAATTCACAGAGCGTGTATAATGGCCCAGCACCACCAAAAATAAGGCAATAAATAAAATTCAGAGATCAATTTCACTTTTTTCACTATATTCTAATATATAATGTTACTAGTTATATTAATTATATAAATATTGTTTATATTATGGAATTATGTAGTATTGAGATATTACACAGGATAACTCTAGGACTTAGGTCATTTCGATTTTCATATTGAAATACTTCTTATTTGCACATATGCCTATGTGTGCATATGTGTATATGGACAAAAACTCAATGAAAACTTCTTTTTAACCTTAGTATGCACTGTTCACAATTATTCTTAATTAATTTAGTGATTTTTTCAGAAGTGATAATCTCTTCTGCTACATGCGAATTTTCCGTGCCAAGAAATTCATAACCCAGCAATGATGCAATTCCCCTCATAGTCACTGAGTGAATATGTGTTGAATGAAATAGTTAACAAGTAAATGAAATTTCTGATATAATTTTTAAGAGAATCAGGTGCATGAGGGGAAAACAAAACACAAACCAGAGTTTTACTCAAGACACTGGCTTCAGCTTGAGTGCACTTTTTTTCCTGCTGGTAGCAGTTTTCCTGGCACTGGGAGTTGACGTGAAGGAGAATGACCCCATCTCTTTCAGAATTTCTCCATAGGAAAAGGCAGAAGGAAGCTCATTTGTCCACTGTTTCTGAGGTTTTGTTTTGCTGAGTCTCTTCAGCTCACTCTTCAACTAGCCAAAGAATTATGTTCACCAATGGAAACCAATCACTGGAGAGTTCTGACTCATTAAAGTTGGGTTGTAATTAGAAAAGAAGGGTTTTTTTGTTTTTTTAAACATTGAATCACTCTAAATATGACTATTAAGTTAGTAAATGATGATAATGTTGGAGACTGCTAGTCCAATTTATCAATGGGTTGTTCATTCAATTTAGGGAAAATGCTAGAACTTGCATTTCTCAGCATCAATAACTCATTCTTGTACCACAGATACAGTAGGGATGACATAACTACAACTAATTAAGTTGAAGTTGAAAGTCAATTGAAGGTCAGATATCCCTAACAGAAACGTAGTCTTAGTCCTTTGGCTCTTATGACTCCATTTAGACGTGCAGCTTGGCTTAGTTGGAACTTGAAGCCAGTTCACTTTACAAATATTTACTGAACATTTACCATTGAGATAGAAATATTTCCAGTGTTCCAGTAACAGAAAAAAAAGTGAACACAAGCTACTTCATGCCTTTGACAAATTTACATTCTGGCAAAACAAGAATATAAATCAGTGAAATACAAAGCAAAGTGGAATAAAATCTTAAGAGAGATAAATTGACAGAGAAGTCAGATATCATATCTATTTGAACAAATCAACCAAGGTTCCATCAAGGAGGATCATATAAATATTGAAGGATCAGTAGGATAGGAGTTGGAAAGAAGACATTCTGTGTGCAAAGGTGTACAGGTGGTGAAAGCTGCAGGCCATATTTTTGTAAAAAGAACAAGTGATCAGCTGGATATGGTGACCAATGCCTGTAATCCCAGCACTTTACAGGCTGAGGCAGAAGGGTCATGACTTCAAGTCTAGTCTGAGATACATAGTAAGACCCTGTGTCAAAAACACCAAAATGAATGAGTGAATGGGTACATAAATAATTAAATAGCAAGTAATCCAGTTTAAATGGAGCATATATTACTTGTGATGGTATAATGAAAGGAAGTCTGGGAAGTAGATTTTGCCCATATTATATGTGTAGAGAACACATATAATTGGATTGACTAGGTAAAAATAATCATTTGAGACAGTGGTTGACATTTAACTTGTTCCAAGACAGTAGACCACACTTCTTTGCATATGTGAAACAAGACAGAAATCCAAGTCTGGACCAAATCATGAAAATGATTAAGTTTTTGTTTGGTTTAGTTTATCTTTTTCAACCTGCCACCACAGCTTCATCCCTCTTTCCCATTCTTCTCTAAGTTAAACCTGGGCCTGATCCCATTCCTGATGAGGAGTTACCAATGGTCACTTGGAGACAGGGGTGGTAGGGAAACAATTCTGAGGTACATTTCCACGTTATCAGGGTGATGAACATGAAGGACTTCAGGGCTGAGAAATTCTGTTATGATAGCAGTATTTGGGGTGGTAGGATAAATAGATTGCTGTGGAGGAACACGGATAGGGGTTCTTAGATCCCAAAGCCTAGAGCAGCACCTAAGTGTCCTCCTTCAGTGGTTCACTGTGGCCATTGGTGATAAGTGACAGCCTGACAATCCTGAGTGTAGACGACTCAGGACAAACTACTGCTAATAGTAGACATTGTTTAATGCACAAGTGCCATGCTTTGCCATCCATGTTGTCTTCTTAAGTAAAAATCAGGAAGTTCTGCATTTTAGACCCAGATCTGAAACAGAGTTTTCACACTTGTTTAAAAACAAAAAACAAGAAAAAAACAGAACTAGGTACATAAACTCTAAAAGCCATTTTATCTCCATAAAGTCACACAGGGAGGCACAGATTACAGGATTTCCCTCCTGTGGTTCTGAGGCATAGATGAATGTCACAAAAGAATCTGGGCCTCTTAAAGGTGTTGCCTCTGGGAGCAACTTCCATTTGCTTGCTCAGTGCAGAGGGCTGTGGAGAGGGGCAAGTTGCAAATGGATGACTGACAAGGGAACTGGGGACCTGCATCTTTGGTCAGATCTGGGTGGCATTCTGTCAAGAAGATGTTCCTCTGGGCAGGTGGGTGATCCTGGAAGTATCCCGATTTGCAGGATGGAGAGATGATGTTCCGAAATGCTGCTCGGAAGCGGCGGGACAGTAAGTTGTAGATAATGGGGTTAACAGCTGAGCTCAGGTAGAAGAAGACACCTGGAATACAGGGGATTCAAAAAGACATGCTGAGATGAAGCTGAGAGGCAGGCAGATAGTGTGAAGCATAAATATTTAACAAAAGCGTAGAATTCCTGTGATTGCCTCTTTTGAAAGTAGTAGTATACATAAGACTCTAATTGAGAATACAAAATGTTCTCAACAGATATAACACCTGTGCACTCAGGAATCAAACACAGAAAGATTAAAGTGTCTTGGAAAAATTTAGGTTGGCATAAGATCTCCCTGAGATGTTTAGTAACTCTCTTTGATCCCTCCTTATTTAATTAAAGAACATGTTCCCATAGCATTAACAAGAGATGCTTAAGTATCAGAGGAAAGAGATGTTTCTTCTCATTGGAATTTTACTTAAATCTATAATTTGAAACTTCAAGGAATGGAGGAATGGTAAATCAACCAAGGCTTAGTCCCTGCTGAGATGCCTTACAATGCTGAAAAGCTCTTCAAAGAAATATCCACCAATGTCCTTTCCCTGCTTCCCCTTTCTCCTTGATGGCACTTTCCACCTTAATGAAACATTCTATTTTACCATTCATTTTCTCTACCAGATGCTTTGTACTCTGTCATTTTCCTGTTTGTTATTCACTCTTTCTTTATTACTATATCCTATTTTATTTCTCAAGGCCCAAGATGAATCTAAAGTTAGGAATCAGAGGACCTAATTTTTTGCCCTTTTCTGCTCTTATTCTGTGACCTCAGATAATGCTGGCACTTCAGTTTCTTCCTCCATAAAATAGGAAATGAACATTCTAGCCAAATCTAGTTCCCTGGATTAAGGTGAAGATAAAGTTGAAATACCATCTACAGAGGAGCTGAGGATGGCTCAGAACATGAAACCATGCATAGGTTCCTTATTGTGTTCATTTACTTAAGGCATGCCCTGTGCAGAGCGGGCAGGGAGAGATAAAAAAGGACAGTATTACTATGAGCCATCATTATTCAAGAAATAAACCCTGATTAAACGGTAGCCAATTTAGACTTTGTTCTCCAAGGACTTGGAACAGTCTTGCAAAGTCTATGGCTAAATTCAATAACAGTACAACAATACCAGACGGTATCTGTTAAGAACAAAACATGTGATCGTAGCAGTCATTCTATGGCAGTTTGCATAATGGCATAAACACAAGGACTGTGATGCCATGAAGGATTTGGGGGGTCGGGGAGAATGAACTCTAGCCAGACCTTGAAATGGCAGGAGATAGCTGAGGAAAAGAAGAGAGAGTATTGGAGGGAGGAGGCACAGCAGATACAAATGAGCAGAGGCAGGAATGGATATTTTGTACAATAATAGTATACAGACTGTCTGTTAGCTACTTTGACAAGTGTATAATCTATTAATAGAAATACTATGATTTGGAGGGTAAAAAAGCCAGTTAGGGGCATTTTCTGTACAGTTTAAGAGGCTTAGACTTTATCTAGTTTGCAGTGTGTGTGTGGAAAAATGGTACCTTAATAGGATAATGTCATTATTAAGTAGACCTTAAAGTACTACTTTGGTGCATCTGGAGAGGTATAATCAAGCACGCATGTGAACTTGTACTATTTTCCAATTTATTTAGACACTCCAGTTTCCGCATAGTAGCTACAGGATAAGCTAAGAGTTGGAAATGTTTTTGAGATTTGGCCCTGAACTCTAAATGGTTTAACCTGAAAGTACTAATGTCCAGGTATGAGCTATACACATGTCCTGCTGGGTACAAAAGAGGATGACAGTACATTGATAATACACAAGGTATTCTGTATGCATATGCATGATATTTTTGCTCCATGCACATCTGGGTTTAACTTATGTAGATTGATCTTTTTTCTCTGGCTACATCTATGATATTCTAAACAGCCTGTAGAATCCGCCAGTGATATCAGGACAAAAGTGGTATGAACCTAAAGTCAGCAGTCATACTGACTAAGAAAGAAGGTCCCTTGTAGTCATTCTCAGCTCTCTTCTATTTCTTTGACTATAAAATGATGATAACATTCAACTTATTATTGATGATCCCATAAACTTTTGTAATTATAAAATGTTTTGGCATTTTACAGCTTACAAGCTCTTTAATGACTATTGTTTCATTTGCTTCTTACCATCAGCCCATGGTTTGTCTAGAAAAGATATTGTTGCCATTTTATGGTTGAAGAAACTTTGGCATGAAGGAAGCCAGATTTATAGTTCACTCAGAATATTAATGGGAGGTATTGGGGTATAAGTACAGGTCCTTTGACTTAGTGACCTTCCCACCATTATTTCTACCACACTCCATGGTATCTTTAACAAAAAGAGTTAGAATAGCATAAAGTAGGCCTTTGTGACTCAAAAGTACCCTTTGGTTGGCTTTCAAATGCAGTATGAGATTTCAAGGACATTATGTTTACTAAATGAGAACCTATTAAGTCACATAGCCATTGAAAGGGTAAACAAAAAATCACTTCTTGACCATTTTCCTATTGTAGTCATCACTACAGTGATTTGCCCATAAAGTGTCCTCTAAAATAGTGATCTGGTATATTTCTTTTGGACAAATAACATGTCTAAACAATCTTTGAATAAAATTTGAATCAAGTGCCTTCGTTGTAGTAGGAAAGATGCCCATGATATGCTGGCAAACCTAGGTATCTAAGCAGGATGAACAAAAAGGTGAAGAGAAAACTGAAATGACCTGTACACTTGTCATGCAACCAGCCCAGCCCAGTTTTTACCTGACACCACATGGATGAGGTTGAACACAGAAGCCAAGGACTCTGTCCATTTCTCCACAAAACTGAAGAAGAGTCGATCAACATGGAATGGGGTCCAACAGACAGCAAACACCAGTACCAAGACAACTGGAAAGGGTGGCAAATGGGAGAGCAAACAGCAGTGTAGGCAAGGTCAGGCATATGATGTTCACACTGAGTCTTCCATTCCTTCTAGCAGTTTTTTCTGCCACAATGGTTAAGTTATACCTGTTAGAGGAAAGCTAGATCCCAGAGAGCCTCAATGCAGAGTATTGAAACACCACAATTAATTTTTATGATCTGGGATCAGTTTTCTGAACAAGAAATTATATACTGTGTTTCTTTAGAACATTTAAAATAAAACTGAATTTATTTCAAAGTTGTAAAAACATTTTATTGTGGAAAATAAAATATGTTACAAGGAGACTGTTGGAGCTGCATGAACTGATGCTATAAATAGGTGGTTTGTTTCAAGCAACTGGTGTTTTGTAAAGTAACAGATTAATAACAGACTGTTAAATTATGAAATCATTTTGTTACTTACGAGGGCTTGGATCTTAAATGTCACCAAAAGCTCATGTGTTGAAGGTATGTTTCCTGGCTGATGGCATTATTAGGAGGTAGTGGAACCTTTAGAAGGTGGGGCCTAGTGGAAGGAAGTAGGTAATTGGGTCTTTTGGCTCCCTGGCCCATATGTGGTAAGTAGCCTCCTCCACCACAAGTTCTGCTGCCTTCATGTTCTGCCTCACCGCAGTCCCCAAAGGATCTGGGCTCACTACAGACTAAAATCTCTGAAACCCTGGGCCAAAATAAATCTTTCCTTCTTTTAAGTTGATTTGCTCAGATATTTATCTGAGCAATGGAAAGCTAACTAACCCATTGCTCTAGAAATAATTAGAAGTTTCTCTGAGTTTGATTATTTAAAATTCTGTGATAGGTGGGGGAGATTGGAAGATCGAATAAACACAAACATAATCCTACTTTTCAAGTGTCTTTACTGGGAAAGGATGAGTCTACTATAAATTACTGAGGCACAGAATTCCTTCCAAATTCCTATTTTCAGCTTTTAAAGACAGATTAGTGCTACTGTGGTTTCTCTTTGGGGTATTTAAGCTTCATCAACATAAATATGTATATTTTCCTCTTTTGAACTTGTCCTTTGCCATGACAGGAGGCATGAGATTTTCCTCTAAACAATCACGTAGTGCTGGGGAGAGATAAGGGTGTAGATGAAGCTATGAGCTGGTAATTTTTGAAGCTGAGCCATAGGTACATGACATTCATTTTAAATTCTCTGTACTTGTGGGTACATTTGGAGTTTTCATAGTAAATAGTACATATATTTTCTTCTGGCATTAAAAATTCAGAGTAAGTTGTCTGCCTGTGTGTGGTTCCAGCGATATCTGGAAGCTTCTTCTGAGTCCTCAGTCTGTTCACTTCTATGATTCCCTTTAGTTAAAAATTTAATCCTGTTAAGTTGAACCCCTTCCCAAGGCAAATACCTTGTAATATATTTTGTTATTGCAACTTTAATGTGAGCAAGCTTCAAGGCTTTCTGTTAGTGAAAGAGAAAAGTTAGTGCTCAGAGAAAAGGGGAGAGCTAATGAAGAAACTCAGTTTCTTAACAGCAAACTCAAAGTGCCAACAGGGGCTAACACTGTCCAAGAAAATGACTAATAATTACAGTCAAAAGACCACCCAGTGACTTCAGTGCTTTTGTTCATAGACACCACATGGTTTCAGTGTTTCATATGCATATTAGTCTTGAGGATTCATTCTTTCAAACCTTAGGTTTTGATTATATGATAGATTTCATTTCCTTCACTAGTAACCCTCATGGACTAATGATGGATCATATGTTTTTATAACATTCTTTCAGGAGATTATGTATTAGTACTTGGATTTTAAAAAACATTTTATTGTGCAAAAGAATACTCTTCTAATACAAATTTACACGAGGTCATAGGTAGAGTGACTACTTAAGAGGTACTCCTGGACATTTCTTTTCTAAAAAAATTTACATTGGTTTTTATTTTATTAATTTTTATTAGCATATATTAATTGTACAAACAGGTTTCATTGTGATATTTCCATGCATGCATATAATGTACTTTGATCAAAATTCACCCCCTCTATTACTCTTTCTTATCTCCCCTTTATTTTACAGTTTTTTAGTAGATCTCATGCTGTTTTCATACATACATATAATGTATTTTGATCATTTTCACACACACACCCCTCCTCTCTCTCTCCCACTGCCAATCCCTGTATTTAAAAGATTCCATGGACTTGACATGGAGGCATCAGTTTGCAACCCCTACCGATGGGTTGTCAGACATCTTCTGTATGGACATTTCTACACTTTATATTCTTAATGAAATCCATAACATAAATGAGTTTAAAACCCTGTCATTTTAGAGAGGGGGACAGCAGTGTTCAAAGGCTCTGAGATTAGATTGATTTGCCGCATACCAATGGAGTGTATTACAATGAATGTAATTTAGCATGTTGTTCTGAGAGTTCAGACCAAAAATGAAACAAACATATATGTCCTAGAAGCTTGAGTAAATGAGAAAGACTTTTCATAGTATTCTGCTTCAGGGTAATTTTAGTCGGAATCACATACAACTCCTTCGCTCAAGGAACATTACATTTTCCTTTTCCACATCAACAAAACATTAAAACAGAATGAGAAGCTTACGCAACATCTTGGTGATTGGTTTTCTGGAGGGTCTGTGAAAGTTTGCAGTCACTTCATCTGCCTCAAAGGATTCATCTTTCTTCAGCTGAAAGAGAAGTAGAAAGAGAGACTAAGAAAGGGAAATACTGCTGGGCGCTGGTGGCTCACACCCATAATCCTGGCTACTCAGGAGGCAGAGATCAAGAGGATCACTGTCTGGGCAAATAGTTTGTGAGACCCTATCCTGAAACAAACAAAAAAAAAAATCACAAAAAAGTGCTGGTTTTGTGGCTCAAGGTGAAGGCCTGAGTTCAAACCCTAGTACTGGAAAAAAAAAAAGAAGAAGAAGAAGAAAGGGAAATACTTTCAACTTTTAAGTATAACTGGTAAATAATCCTGAGAAGTATAACTCCAACACTAATTTTGGAGACAAAAATCCAATAGTTAAATAAATGTAGGAATATGTAAGAATATGTTAAATACTAAAGAGTGAGATGGAAGAATTGGATCCAGATCAGCTAATTCACTTGCGTATATGATTGTGGCCAAGATGCAATATAACCATTTTTTAAGGAAAAAAAAATGTGTGATTCTGTAGAACCCTAGTTCTGTAGTATGTTAAGGGTTTCATGAAAAATGTTAAGTTCCGAAGGAAAAAAAATTATCTAGGCTAACATTTATTAATTCACTTAATGATTATTAGACGTCTATCAGAGTGAAGCCCTTCTGCCATGTGGTGGGTAGGTAGAAGACAACGAAAGCAGGTATTGCTGTTGTGGCACTAGGTTACAATCTTCACTGTGGTTCTTCTCAGAGCCTCCAATATGCTAATAAGTACTGCGACTCTTCAAGGGAGTATATTGTATCTCCCCCCTCCCCCTTTCCACAGCCTTATCTCCCATCCCTAGCCCAGCTGACAGGGAAGTATTTTATTTATTTATTTTGGTTTGTGGGGATGTTTAACCAGATAAAGCTTTAACAATTTGTGATAAACAGCCATAAACTATCTGGAAGTTAGTATACTATATATTTGCCCATTAGGTCTCTACCATTCAGTCCCTTGTCTTACCAATAGCACCTTCATTCTCTCTTAGGAAATTTATTCCTTCCCCACACTTAGACATTAGTTTAGCTGGGGATAACCCCAGCTCCCCCTCTTGGCTTTGTCCCTAAATCACCTGGCAAATCAGATTGCCCTATCCTCCAGTCGCTGTGATTAGATAATTGGGGCCAGTGAGATTTCGGATATTTGTTTGTATGTCTGGGAATGGAAATTTCATTTCTTTTTTATTGGGATTGCCAGAGGGAGCCTTCTTCACTGTCTGTGAGGGCTGGAATTTCAACAGCTTCTGGTTTGCCGTCATGAGAAAAGTGTTGGAGCCACAAGTAGACTTCTGTGTGGAGTTTAAGGTTAAAACCAGAATGATAGGAAAAAGACAGCAAAGTCAGAAAACCAGCTATACCTTTGATGACACTGTGTTTTTCTGAGTTAATCTTCACCAAGAGCCTGCTCTACTTGTGGATTTCAGATCTCTGCCTCCTTCGTGGTTTGTCAAATTGTGAGGAGTCCTCCATCAGCAGTGTCAAATGTCCTGACTGACTGACTGATTGAGACCTTTGGGTGGAGGGAACATTCAAGTTATTCTGTGTAGGGTCATGGCTAGATTAGGATCAATCTATTGAGTTATAAAGGGATAGAGTCAAATTCAAGGTAAATAAGAAATTAGTGTGATTTATGTGCAACAGTGGAACAATTTTCTAAGAAGCAGTAAGCTTCTGAAGCTGGATAGCATTTTGAGGAAATGTTTTATTTTTGTGGTGATACCAGAGTTTGAACTCAGGATTTCGTACTTGAGAGGTGAACTCAGGATTTCGTACTTGAGAGGCAAGTGCTCTACAGCTTGAACCACACCTCCAGCCCTTTTTGCTGTGATTACTTTGGAGATGGGGGTCTCGTTTTTCACATGTGCCAGCCTGGACCACAATCCTCTTATTTTATGCTTCCTGAGATGGGGGTCTCGTAAACTTTTTGATTAGATTGGCTTCAAACTGCTCCTCTCAATCTCAGCCTCCCAAGTAGCTAAGATTACAGGCACGAGGCACTGGCACCCAGTTTGAGGAAATATTTCAGAGAAAATATTTAAAATTAGATAAGAGTTAGAAGAGTGGGTCATTAAAAATTGCCTCTAAAGTGCAACAAGTCCACATTCTGTCTTCTTAACAAATACATAAGCTCCTTGAAGCCACTGGGCCCTGAGCATCCAGGAGGACCCTGACCATGACCATGGGTCTTCTGAACACATACTGTCTGTGTGCACCTATGTTTTCATAAAGTGAGGGATTCAAAGTCCTGTGGGATTTTGCCCTTCACTTAGAACTTGAAAAGAAACAAGGGGTTATACAGTAATTTAGGAGTATGTGGGAAGAATGTGGAGGTGATAAAATGTTACTAGAATAATAGTAAAATAAAACAGTGCTGGCAGAATGCTTTTCTCAGTGCCTCACACATGGTACACACCAAGTTATAAATTATGGTTACTATTGAGATTCTGATTATTATCCTGAGTGTACTCAAAAGACATAATAAAAACTATCTTTTTTGGAAACACAGTTATTTACACGTGTGCCCCTCTTATGTGGATAACTGAGTCCCTTCTAGAAATTCTCGTTCTCCTGCTACCACTCAGCCTAAAGCAGTGCTTGCCTAATAGAAAGCAGAAGCCAGATGTAATTAGAAGAAAAACACATTCAAAGTTAAAGCAGTACATCAGACTACAAATGTTAGCAACTCATCTCTAGTTAAATCTACTAAAGGTTTTAATTATTTTGTGCTCTTAAATTTGTAGTTATTGTAGGATAAAGTTATTCCAAGATACAGATATTCCATTATTTGATTCTAGACCATAATTAAGAGTAATGAAAGAATGTCACTTCTCAGCTAGTTTAACAGTATGATATCTACCTAAGGAGTAATTTCCTGAAATCAAACATCAAGCACACATTTCACATAGCCCTTTTATGGACAGGCTTCCTGTACAAGAGCAGTTTGTACTGAAAGAAAATCAAGGTTATAATGACACAACTAGCTTATTAAACAAAAAGTGAAAACTAAATGTGCACATTGTTCCAACAGAATTTGAAGTGGTTGACACAGTAGAATAGGATCCAGGCAATTTATCTAGTCAGTATTAAATGCTTCTCTAGTATAAGTAATCTGATTTCCTCTTCAGACTTTAGCAATGTAAATATTCAGCCACAAATTATTTCTACTCTCCCCCAAACTTTTATTTTAAAACGAGGTAGCAAAGGGGAGTGAAAAGTTGTGGTAAGTGTACAGGAGGCTCAGAGCCTTCCTACCTCAGCCCCTCCATCCATGTAGCACCAAGGTGAAGGGGAAGTTCACAGGCTGACTGTCATTCAGGTTGATGTGTTATCCTGGTCAGTTGCTTATAGCAACTGAAATCAATTCGCCAGATGTTCAGTGTGTGTACATGTGTGTGTGTGTCTGTGTGTGCATGTGCACATACTCACACATGTATCAATGCAACCCTGTATTTGGTTGGTTTGGTTGGGTTCTGGTGCATCTTATACCTGTGTCCTCATCAACTCGAGCACTGAAGCTGCATGTAGGGAATGCAGGGATTGGTCAGCGCTCCCCTAGACCCCCCTTCCACGTGGTCAGCGCTCCCCTAGACCCCCCCTTCCACAGGGTCAGCGCTCCCCTAGACCCCCGTTCCACAGGGTCAGTGCTACCCTAGACCCCCCCTTCCACATGGTCAGCGCTACCCTAGACCCACCTTCAACAGGATCAGGCATTCGCCCCGGGATCTGTCTTTCATCTCCATGGTTTGCCCTGAGAGCGGCTCTATGCACACTTACTTGCTTCCTGGGATGAAGCAGCAGCACTGAGTATGTCTGGCTTTGAGCATGAGCATGGCTTCCTTCTTGGCTGGTCCTCTGATTTCATCAGCACAGTGTCTGAGAGCAGAGGACCCAAACTCAATCACACTTCAGACTTGCCAAGAAGACTCAAAGCTTATACATTATCAGAATTGCTTGGGTTTCTTTAAATCTCACACATCACAAAGGCCCTTTAAAACAATGCTTAAACTTTTGTTTTAGGTAGAGAAGCTGAAGCCCAGTAATGAGGAAAGCAATTTAGCCACATCCACTCCCTGAGAGGACAGCCTAGTTAAGTAGAAATAAATTAACTAAGGAATCCACAAGTATAGGATTATAAATTATAATGAAGGAAAATTATAATGAAGAGCTAGGGAATCTGGGACAGCTTCCCTGAGGAAGGGTGGTTGAAGTGTGACTTAAAGGATAAATGAGAATCAGAAAGGCAAAAGACACTGTGGTAGGGGACAGTGGGAGCATTCAGGCCCTGAGGCCCATACCACAGAATAGGGATGATTTCTCCAGACTGGAAGTCTGGAGAAACTTCAATTCTTCTAGGAGTGACTATCTAAGCAGATAATTCCTTTCCTGGTACCCTCTGTACCCCAGAATACACTGGATAACTCCTCATTCTTCCCGAGACAGAGACAGGTGATCAGTTACATTACTCACACAAGGCAAACCTGGATGGTTTCTGACCTGTTGTCTGAGCTGTCACTTAGCTCCTGATACAAAGTAGCAGTGGATTCATGCATGACAGTGAAACTTAAAGTAATAGATTAGGGGAATATATGTTTCCTATTCAAATTTAACTATATCCCTGAAATTGACTCAAGATAAATGATTGGCATTGGAAATGATGGTATTAATACATTCTGGGTGGGGTTTTCTCATAGGATTTATGATATTTGGAAATTTATGGAAGACTTTTTCTCAGTGAAACTTACAGGGCATACTAAAGACATGGCTAAGAAATGTTTGGGGGTGACATATGTATTGAGAGACATAGTGCCAGCCCTCTAGGAAGAAATTGCCAAAGCTCTCTGCTAGGTTAGACTGTGCTGTGAGACTTAAAATTTGTTCTTCCTACTTAGACTTTGCCATCTACCTTAGGGACAGTATGTATTCAGAAAGCCCACCTATGGGCCACTCATTTTTGATAATCACCTTTCTCAGAGATGGACTGAGATGGGAGCATATTTATTGTCATGTATTATATGTGTCAGAGCCATCTTAAAGGATATGGTATGGCTGTATGTTTTATTCTCCTTTCATTTTAACTCACATTGCTCTCCCCTCCTTTTTTTTATGTTAAAGCTAGCAGCCTCAGTTATGATCTGATGTGACTTTTCATTTTATAAATGGGAAAAGTTCTAGGAGAATTGTGACTTGCCTGAAGATACACGTCAGCCAAGGACCTGGAGTCCACATGGTCTCATAACTGTTTACTACATGAGTTACCTCCTTGAGTGAGTATAAAGCTGCCACAGTGAAGGCTTGCGTCTCTATGAATTTGGGTGCAGAATATACTAGGAGTCATATAGACTCATTCCTACCCTTATCAAAAATAATTTGAACCTGGAGAAAAGAAAGAAAAATCAGTTTGCCAGTATGAGCACAGGAAAAGAACTTCTATTATAAGATATGTGGCTAAGTGATAATTTTCTCTTAATCCCAGACGTTTCTTACTTTACTTTCTTTTACTGTAACTCATGTGTTCTGATTACCCTCCCAATCCTCAATCTGCACCTGCTCAAGATACACATATGTATATGTGTATATAAATAATTTATAATATATATAATTTAACTTTGTGTTTCAGCCTTTCAATCAAAGGTCTAAGCACCTGCAAGAATGTGTTTGATGTTAAAATTATACATCTGACTTTTACTATAAAACAGATACTGATAGTTCATGTTATACTCAAACTGTGTCAGTACAGAGGAAAATTTCAACACAGGCAGTCAATAGAGGTTGGGCAGGAAAGAGACAGCACAGTGTAAGATGTGCATACTGATTCCCTTAGGAAGTTTTCTAGCCCACTAGAAAAGAGAGAAGACATGGAATCTGAGCTAAAAGAAATGCTGCATAGTTACGGTTTACTGTGCAAGTGTGTTTGAGGCAGGCCCTTTAACTTCTCAACTTTTCTTCCTAACTCATTCTCCTTTTCTCTGTACTCCCTTCCAATCCTGACTCTCCATTTCCAAGTTTGTATTTGAACTCACAGCCAGTGAGAACAGGTGGTCTGCCCCAAGCCTGATCCCTTGGATACTCACTCTGAGCCCCATGAGGAAGTAGAGGACACTGATGAGGGTCATGGGGAGGATGTAGAAGACGAAGGAGGTGACCTGGATGATGAAATTGTAGATCCATATGGGCTTTGTGACAGTACAGGTGGCAGAGCCAGGCACCAGGGACCCATTGGGGAAGTAGTGGAGCTTGATGCCGTGGATGCTGGTGTTGGGCAGAGAGAAGGCAATGGAGAAGCCCCAGACAATGCCCACGACTCTGAGGGCCCGCCGCCCCGTTCTCTCCATCTTGGCTCGGAAAGGGTGGACGACAGCCACATAACGCTCCACACTGACCGTGGTGACGCTAAGGATGGAGGCGAAGCACACGGTCTCAAAGAGGGCAGTCTTGAAGTAGCAGCCCACTGACCCAAATAGGAAGGGGTAGTTGTGCCACATCTCATAGACTTCCAGGGGCATCCCCAGCAGCAGGACCAGGAGGTCAGAGACAGCCAGGCTGAAGAGGTAGTAGTTAGTGGGTGTCCTCATAGTCTGGTGCCGAAGAATCACCAGGCACACAAGGAGATTGCCCACGACCCCCACCGTGAAAATCAGCGCATACACTGCAGACACCGGCAGGGAGAAGGGGCTGCGCCGAGGTCCACAGATGTAGGCCAGGTAGTCCTCCGTGCTGTTCAGGTATTTGAATGGATCTTCTGCTTCCTGCTGGTGGACCCACGAAGCATTGCCAAGTTTGTCCATCACTGACATTAAAATCCAAGACCCCTGGTCCGCTCGCCTCCAATGAGGCTCTGTTCCAAGCGGAGCCAGAAAGGAAAGAGCAATAGGGAAAGCAGAGGCTCAGGGAAGAAGGCCGGCGACAGCCAGAGCGTCAGCCTCCAGGTTGGGCTGCTTACAAGCTGATCCGTTTTGAGAAGCCCCCACACAGAAGCCCCGCCCCCGGAGGGCTGGAGGCCAATGGGCGCTCAGGCTGCACAGCTGGAGAGGGCTTTGAGTGCTGGAGGGGGGGAGGGGATCTCCTTATGAATGAGAGGAAGCTGGGAAACCAGCTGCAGACTGTGACATCCAAACAGGGGTGGCTCTCCCAGCAGGGCATTGCAAAGCTGTGGGAATCTGTGTGGATATGCATATGAAGGATGCGTGGTCATGAGTAGCGGAATACAAATCTCCATTGATCCTTGTTCCCTGTACAACATGACAAATATGGGAGATCAACAGATTTCTCAAGTTATCGTGTTCCACTGGAAATTCAAGGCTCTCTGGGGAAAGCACGCACAATGTGACTCTTGGGTTTTGCTTGCATCCCTGATAGAATACCAACCCTGAAGGACACTGACACCTCAGCTAGCCCTGTCTGCTGACCTTTCCATCTTTCAGCAGCTCAAAAAGCAAGTGAGTTTCAGGACCACACACACTCATGAAAATACAGCAAGTTGGGAAAGTTACGCCACCCCCAGAGCCTCATTTCCTTTTCTGCACTAGGCTTCTTGGAAATACCAGTGAACAAGCAACGCAAACTCCTGCCTTTATGGAGTTTTTCTTCCAGTAGGGAGTTCTGAAAATATAGGAGCCTACTAATAAATAACATGATTTCAGACAACTATTCAATGGATAAGTGATCAAGAAGGCTAAATAATGCTTACCTCGGACTAAGGTCCAAATGATAAAAAGTCAGTTGTAAAACAGCTAAGGAAAGTATATTCTCAGGAAAAGGAAAAGCAAGTGCAAAGGTCCTAAGGTAGAAGTAAGCTATGTTTCAAAAACATCAAGACAACCATATAACAGGAACTTAATAAGAATTATATCTACATATACTTTCAGGACAGTGTTAACGCTTAGACTGAAGTGGCTGTCAGGGACCAGATCATGGAAATTCTCCTGGGCTATGGTGAGCAGTTTGAATCTTATTCAAATGGGAGAGATTCTGGATCTGATTCAGACTACCGGGAGAATTCTCTGGAGGATTTTGAGAGAATTCACAGGGTGGGACTGGTAAGAGATGGCATTGGCTTACATTGTTGTGTTGAGAGATATCTTTGGATTTAGGGCTAGTTTTGCAAGGGATGATACCTTGCATGGTTAACAATAAATGAAGTACCATATACTTAAGAGCTTCTCACTAAATGTTAATTCTTTTATTTGCTAAATAAATCAGATGAAACCTAAAGACTAAATAAGTAAAATGACTTGCACAGGGAAAATCTGCAAGAAGGGCTGGTTTATGCTGCTGGAACAAATGGTCACCAGATCTCAGTGGCTTAAAACGATGAAGATTTAGTGCTTGCAAACTTGCATCAGCTGGGAGGGTCTGTCCTGTACTCTACTCACTCTACTGGTGGAGGGATCATTATCTGGATTTTGCTGGTCATTGTGGGAGAAGGAAAGTAGCTCTTGCAGGCCACATCTAGGTAGTCAGTCACATGCTCTAGCCTGAAGCTTAGTGACACATGTCACTTTTACTCACATGTCACAGCTCATTGCCAAGGACAAGTTCTAGGTATCCCCTCCACCAAATGGGAAGGAAGAGCTATCCTATCATGTGCACAGGAGACTGAAACCTAGCAAAATTCAGTGAACAGACAGAAAAACTTTGGTCATTGCTGAGCCTCTCATTAATGATAAGCTTTGATGCTGAAATCATTATTAACAAACTTTAATGTAGATTTCTAATGGAATAGAAGCTTAAGTTTGAGATGAAAAATCATATTGTAATATAAAGATCTTTAAAGCTATAAGGATGTGCAAGCACTAACCATTGTCTGCAAAATTTCTACTCCCTGGCCAAAAGATATGGGAAAAGAAAGAAGAGGGTAAATTATTATAGCTGTTGAAACTTCCAGTTTACAACGAAAAGGCTTTTACTTTCCCTCTTTATTTGGGAAATCAAATGGAGAGAAGAGCCAATCGAATATGTGCTCCCTGTAAGAAAGTAAGGGTAGTGTTTCATTTCCCAGATAAATATTTACTAAGCCATGAACTAAAGGCCTATCTCTGTGTATCTGTAAGAATGGAATGAACCTTGGCAAGAGAATTCTTGCAAGAGCTGAATGTATTTCTCTATGAATTAAAGCATACTTGTTGTCATCTAAACAAAAATTTTAAAAAATAAAGTTATGAGGATAGCAGCAAATATTACACACAGGGCAGCACACTAAAGGTCAAAAGACATCTCTATACTATGTCAGGGGAAGACCAGTTAGAGTGACATTTAATACGGGTATAGTAACAGTCTCAGTGCATGGAGCTGAGATGAGACTGAGAAAGCAGGGATTGAATTCTGGACATCTAGAGTAGGCCTGGGCTTCCAGTCCTGCTTCTGTTTCCTCCTACCTGTGTGACCATTAGAAGTGCATCTTGTTTCTATGAGTCTCAGTCACTCCATTGGGAAAATGAAAAAAATAGTGGTATTGCCTTATAGGGTTGACATGAGGATTAAGTAATTCCTGGTAAAATGTTTAGTGTAAATTATTTTAAATAATACAGTATTTCAAATAGGTATTTAACAACGATACATAATAAGATATCAATATATGGTCACTTGTCTTGAGGTGAAAAAAAGACTTTCAAGGCCAGCCTTGGCTATATATAGAGACCCTCAAAAAACTGATACAAAACAAAAGACTATTACAAGATTTAAAAATTGAGAGTGTGCTTGGAGTTGTTAATGTGGAGTTGTAAGTAGCTTTTGGGCATGAAGGCTGGTCAAAGTAGCTGCTAAGAAAAAGCGTGGACCACCCATCCCTGGATCTGAGACTACACTTTTCAGCTCTAGGAAGTCAGTGAGGATGATCAAGAGCTCAGTATCCTATAGGGAGTGTGTGGTGTAGGTGGAGATGTTTTGCCTGAAGAAGACACAGAGGAGTGAAGTGCAGTGTGAGGTCACCTTCCAATATTTGACCATATGTTTGGGTGATGCCCAAGGATCAAGGAGAAAGAAATGTGTGAAAGCCTCAGGGAGCAACAACAGGAAGTCAGTTCCTCTGGGATTTCCTGATAATTGAAAAGAGAACCTCACAGAAGGGCTTATTGCAGCTAAGAAGCTACAGTATTCATCTGCCAACTTCTGTTCCCTAGTGTTTGAGGGTTGCTCCTGGGGCAATCATTTTTCTCCATCTCTGAACTGTTTTTGAACACTCAGAGAAGGTTATGTAGTAGAAAAGTAAAGAAGCAGCATGAATTTAAGATGAAACTTATCAGAATTCTGAGCATGTACAAGGGTGCATCTTGTAGCTGTGGCTGAAATCGGGGTCAAGGGGATGTGGTATAGGAGCTCAGTAGAATCTACTAAATCTATAAAATAAAAAATAACAATAGTTACCTTTGTTGGCACTTGCTCTCAGAGATCATTATGAGCATTTCACATGTATTACCACATGTGATTTTGCAATAATACCTATGAAGTAGGCTCTTAATGATTCCTGTCATTTCAAGGAGGGAAATGACGCACACATACCTGCAGACTGGTTGATGCTTACATAGTATCTCAGTCATATCAGTTAGGTTGGGCTTTGAACTCAGGGAAGTGCTCTACTGCCTAAGCCACTCTGCCAGCCTTAATGCCAAGATTTTAGTGGATTAAAATAAAATGAGATTTCTCTCTTGCTCATTCTATATGTCCATCAAGGTTTGCCTGATAGCTGTATTTTTCTCCAATTGGAAAGCAGGCTCCAACTAGTATTTTCAAAATTCCTAAGGCAGGATTTCCATGGAGGACTCTGACTCTTAAAATTTCTGCCTGCAAGTGACAGACATACTTCTATTTATATTTCATGGGCCAAGTCAAGTTAGAGCCATTCCTAATCCCAAAGAGGGTCAAAACAACCATCTCACACTCTTGGCAGGAGAAAACCAAAAACACTTCCTAAACAGAATTATTGATTATATATTCCGTCCCTCTGGATACAAATATTTAGCTTATATTCCTTCTCACAGGGGAAATGCCTTTCTCCTTGCTCCACTGGAGATGCCTCAACATTCCCTGCCAGCCACATTCAAAGTTAAAACCAGGATGTCTGGGTAGTACCTGGCATTCTGTACAACAGAGAGGAGAATAGCATTCCTCCATGAGATCCACCTGGTGGTCCTCTTGTTCCAGAGACCTTTACACTCAAAGGAAAACTTACTGGGGCCCCACCTGGATCCTTCTGGCCTCTAATACCTGTTATCTCATGGTTCACTCCCTGACTCTTAGACCAGTGCCATGCATATTCAGAACTTTTGTTACAGTGATGCTTCACTTACATAATGAGTCTTCAGTCGTAAATTGGACTAGATTTTGCTAACAGATAATTCCAAACTCTCAGTAACTGTAAAAACAAAGACTTTTGTTCTTTTTTTCTGATTTTTGTGTTGCTTATGTTTGGGAAGGGAAAGCTTTTTACTCTACTGTCTGTATTCAGGATGATAATAATAATAATAATAAACAGCATCTGGAGCACAGTACTGCAACTGCTGGTAAGACATGACTGGGGGATATTGGCTTCTCTGCCTTAGAGATCTCTTCCTCCTCTAGTACTGTTTGAGGCCGTGAGAATTTACTCAATAAATAGATACACATGAAGAGGCATTAGAGCAACTAAATTAGCTACTAAGCCACATCATTTGTCAAATACATAATGAAGAAAATGCATTTTCTATGTTTTAAGAAAGTGCTTATTTTATACATGGCAATAACTTGAATGCATTTCAAGAGAACCCTGGGAATAGAACCTCAGTTGAGAGGCATAATATCTCCAGTTTTCAACTCTGGC